AGACGAGCAGATACGCAACAGAATGTAAAAAACAAAACAATTTAAACCAGCGAACTTGATACGGTTGAATGCAAAATTATTTAATTAATCCTACATCTTCTGTAATGAGGCCCAGTAGCTAATGCTTTGGACTGGTAGTTGGGAAATTACGATTTCGTGAGTTGCTCGAAGTAAGGACAGGCATCTGTTGTTACTTATAATTCAGTAAGAAAACCCAAGTCTTTGTTATATATAAGACAAGTGAAATGTGATGAGTGAAAGCACCTCACACTTAAACTGAAGCTAACGTATCTTCGTAAGTACTACTACACCAGGCTGGAAAAAGCCCAGTGTTGCCCTCTGGCAGGATCGAATCCTGGCCACCACCAATACGAAAAATAGCCTTCAATACATTCCTGAATACGGCAGCATAGTGGAAACATAAGATAAAAGCAGTTAGTAATTAGAATCTACTTATATGGACATTTGTTAATTAATAATTACATTTAGGTGATCCTATGGACTACTAACCACGAAAGCGATAAAGTATCCAACACACTCAATATTTGAAACATGATGTCCGCAACATTCAGTATTATATCTAAAAGACCGTATCCTAAATACTATTAGTATTATTACTAGAAGATATTTAAGGTTCTACATTTTCAAACAAGTAAAAGAAAAAAGTTTGATACTGTGTATGATAGCGAAAAAAAAGTGTGTCGTTCTTGGTAATAATTAGTATAGTGCATGGGAATTAGCAGCTGCGTCTATTCAACTTTCAACTGTTTTCTCAGGACAGAAGTCAGGAGATTCTCGTGCATGAGCAGAGATGTTGCTAGGTGATAACAATAAACAATATCATAAACATTTAATTCACCATTTGATTACAATCTGAAATAAAAACGAATCTTTTCACTCCCTGTGAAGACTCCATCAGACTTGGTCACAGAAAAATGTCACAGTGTAAAATAAAGTTCTTGGTCATCTCGACCTTTGTAACAGTTGTTTTTATATTTTCTATTTTCCCTCAGTACTCTCTAACCAGAGTTTATAGAAATCTTCCAACGCTACCAAGTGGTTATTTGCCCAAAGAAGGAGAGTTTCTTTTCGACCAAACTACAGTGTTAAAGCCCTTCCAATGTGCAGCCAAGTGTAACCGGTTTCTGACACAATGCTTCGGCTTCAGTTTTGGTAACAACACTTGTCAACTCTTGGGGAAAATATTGTCACCTTGTGCGACATTGTCCCACAGCCCAGGAATGACTTATTATCAGGTGGTTTCAGAATAACTCGTTAAAGACAAAATGTCTCTGATGCTTTTCTTCGATCTTATCATATTAGATTTGGGAATTTGTTAGA